ATTCGTTTAGGGAAACTCTGCGTCAGATTTTCCAAAACGGTAACCGAAATTTCCTTCCATTTTTTTTGGAAGCGTCGAATTAAAGAAGAACGGGTTCGTGGAATTGGCTGCTCATACGCGCTATTCTTGAGATAGGGCCACAGATTCTCGATTGGGTTCAAGTCCGGGCTATTTCCTGGCCAAGTCCCCTTCCCCCAGACTGTTGAAATGTGCTCCCCTAGGAGGCGCATGCTCTCTTTTGCAGTGTGAGCTGGTGCCCCATCCTGCATGAAAGTTATTTTTTTCTTACTTGGAAAAAGTAGCTTATTGTCCATGGCTTCGAAGTAAGTAGGAAGAATTTTGTCACGGTAATAGGCTCCGTTTACATTTTGACCACTCGGAATGATGTGCAAACGAGAGACGCCCCTCGAACAGTACCCAGCAGCAACCATAATCTGAAGACTTTTTTTCGGTGTAGATGTTGCTGGAACCTCCGTTCTTTTTTCTGTCCTGTACCTTGTGTTCTGAGGATTCCCCCGAGGGTGAAGATAAATCCAAGTTTCATCGGTAAATAGTATATGTCGACGTTTTTCTTCACCCCTTTCACCCTCTGTCAAATAGCCGTTTTCGTCCAAAAAGTTACCAAACTTTAACCTATCTTCAATATTTTTGGCAGACAAAAGTGGTTTTTTAGATCTCTTGAAAGTTTTATTTCCCCATGTGGTGGTTTTTAGATGATTTTGAATGGTAGATTTGCTAATCTTTTTATCCATCCGTTTGAATCGATTTGTGAGATTGATGGCGGCCGCACATTTTCGAGTGGAACTGCCAGTTTTTCGGTACATTCTAGTTTTAATCATATTTTTAGTGGTAGGTGACAGTATGGTGGGTTGTCCAGGCCTTTTTTTGTCAGCTGTTGACTCTCGGTTTTTCCAACGCTGGACAGTACTTCTTGCAACTTTGATTTTTTCGGAAATTTCTCTCTCGGAGTATCCCTCCTCCAATAGTGTTTGAATTTCTATTCTTTTCCGTATTCTGTTATATAAATACTTGGTATACATTTTGTAAAAAAATCACCTGTGTAAATAAACAAAGAAAAAAGTTATGCCAATTTGTATTACCTAGTGCTCATGGTAGTTTGGTGGACTCGTTTTTAAGTGGACACACTGTACTCGACCAAGCGGAGCTGTTCATGTCAGCAACCCGCATCTTTTGTATCGCATTTCCGATATCAAAGTGTATAGATGGTTGTACAGATTCAGGGGAGAGAGGAATGCAATTTTCAACGAGATCCGTATCTCACACCAACCACCAGAGAAATGTAACAAAATATCTACCGGGCAAAAGCCGACGGAACTTTCACCTTTGAAAATAAACCCATTTGAAAATTGGATTGTAAAACAAAAACCTTTCAAACCTTGTCGAAACACAATCAGTTTTAAAATTGGACACCAATCTTGTCGCATCGTAGATGCAACGAAATCCAGCCACAGCAACACCTCGGATCAAATCCTTTATATATGTATTTGCCATGCCACGTGTCAATACATACCCGAAAAACATGTCCTAGGACGACCCTTTCTTGAAAAACTTTCACCGAACTAGCACCAAGCCACCAACACCTACTTCATTTTTCATCAACGGCTCCTCCAATCCTGTTGGGTGCACTTTGAGGCAGTTCCAATCTCGTTTTTGTGGGAGGCAAAACCGAAGAGAAAACGGAAGCTACTTTTACATATCAAAGACCAGTTGCAGACCTTGGGAAGAAGAAATTGAGCACGTTTCTGGGTTTCTGGCTTCTTCTTCGTTTGCAGCGAGAGATAGTTGGCTTGAGAGCATGGATACTTTTGCTGATCACTGCAGAAGAAGAAGGAGTACAACAAGCCACCACGAAATGCGACACGTGCTGAGGACACCCAAATTGGCAACAATTCTCAGAAAGACGGCACAAGCAAATAACGAACACTTATTGAGAGAAGGAGGGCGGATTGTGAAAAATATTTTACCAAAGTGAATTCGACGTGTCCTCAAAAACCAGGAAAATTGTACAAGTGCCGTGTTACGTGGAAAGTATGGAGGAGAAATGCAGCATCAAAGGCTTTGTTATCTTTTCCCTTGTTGCTTTATTTCTGCCTCTGCATTTCCCAAGAAGAAAAAAAAGGACTGGGGGAAAATTGGTTTTTGTCCCGTTTCTATTGCTCCCTTATTTACAATACCGAGTTGCGAATTTATTGCAAATTTACGTCACATATAAAGAAAGCCAGTGATCATGATCACTGTCAGATAGGAGCAACAGGACGTATACTTTCTCCTGCTTTATTATTCCTATCTGTCCAACAGACCCTGGATACATGAATACATATGCTTTTATCTCTTCTTTTTGGGAAATATGTATCGAGCCAAAATTCCGTATTGTTCACGTTCCTCCATAATAATTTGCACAGGAGCATAACAGCACGTGCAGAATAATGTAGATAAATACCGATTTTTATTGATTCTTGAAAATTCAAGGGAAATTATCTCCCCTTGCGATGCAGTCACTCCACTGCATTTTTTTCTTCAAGAGGAGAAAGTGACTAAATAAATAATGTTGAAATATTGTGCTGATCAGACAACAGGATGTCAATATATCGCTGCCTCCGCGTGATTTTTTCTTGTCACTCGTATTCTGTTATCTGTAGAGTGAATCCTTCCTCCATTATCAAGCACTTACAAAAAAGGAGCGTTGCACTCGGGACGAAATCATGTCTCCGAATTAATTTTCATTCACACAATCGACACCTTAACTAAATGAAAGCTAATTACAAAATCACCTCATTCCACCCATTTTCCCTTATTCTCCCCTCATTCCAAGTTTCCCCTCTCCTCAACAAGTTAACAAATTGAATTCGAAGAGAAATAATCTCTCTCGAATCAACATCCAGCCAGAGAAAGAGCTAAATAGCCTACAAATCGGTGTGTTTCAAATAAAAAAAGAAGGAGAAAGCAAACTTTCCATTTTTTACTCTTGAAAAATAGATAGCACTTATTTCCTTGAGTGACACTCGAGGTCGTTCATTTGCAAGTGGTTGGTCGTACGTACGGAGGTCTCTCTGAATTATTTCTCCCATTACGTACATATCACACGACACCACTATCGTACGTATATCCGTCCTTTTACGTACGTACCCCCAGGACGGAAGGGTTGCTTTACTTGTCTCCCTTTATATGGATCAGTTGAGATGGATGAGTCCCATCTCGATCTAATTGTCTTGCTCAAGTTTCCCAGCATGGAAAATACTTACTACGACTAATGTCACCTACATGTTTACTTACTTATTTCCCTGCCTATCTGATAAGTAAGCTTCCTTGCTACATTATTTATTTACCAACAAAGTCGGCCAGATGGGACTTCTTTTTACTATCCGAGAATTTAAGTAGTAACAAAAGTGTGATATGGATGTGTGTACTGAATTAAAATTTGTTTCCTTATTCACCTCCTTTCTTTCTTCCTCTGAGAAGAAGAATGATTTGGCACGGTTAAAAATTTAGGTCAATTTGCAATGGGTGAAATTGAGTTTAAAATTTTATCCCGTGTGTCCACACTACATTATTTGGGTTCATTGTTTAATTATAAAATGGTGTAAATTCAAATTCTTATATAGCTTGCAGAGGAAGTAATTCGTGTAACTGGGTCCTCCCCGTATGTGTAACTGTATAAACGTGGATTGAGCCATCCATGCCTTCAAATTAATACGACTCTTGGGAAATCAGCCGTGTTTCGTCACTACACGATCACTAAAGTTTTTGTATTTATTTCCTCCCATAAATTTATTTCGCTCCACTTTTGATAAGTACTATCACCACGCGGATAAGGAGGAATCCTAATAATCTGATTTTCAGCCCGGTGTAACGTTTCCGCTGGGAATTTATTCTGATGCAATGATGATTTGTCTCGTCGTATAATGTGTGCCTACACTTTTCTTTTTATGTCGAGTGGAGTGAATTAAATGGAAATTGTACCACTTTCTCCTCCAGAACGATTCGCACAATAAATTCGTAAAAGAAGCCCCCTCATAAAATGAAATTTACGGATTATGTCACTTATTTATGAGCAAATTGCGTTATTGAAATTCCAACATGAGCATAAACAAGGCTTCCTGTAAAATAAAGTAACTCAACAACTACGTCTGTAACTCCACTTCGGAAGGAAGGGAAACCCGACAAAATGCAAATCAGTTGGCAAAGTTAATCCCGTTGAAAAATTTTGGTAGGGAAAGAGGAAAACATAAAATTTCAATACCAACCAAGACGTCCGGATGGAATGCGATGCAATGCAATATATGTACGTACTTATTTACTTCTTCTTGGGGGGATGAAATATGCTCGAAATATGAGACGAGATGATTATGCCCGAGCATTAAAAATATGACCGGACACGGCAAACTTATAGATAAAAATCCATTAATCTTCGTCCGAGTTTTATCCGAGAGCAGATATCCTGCAAAGTAAGCAAGGAGGCCATGCTGCGGAATAGCTTAACCTTATTAACTTCACACTGCAAACAGGATGAGATACATGGCTGGATGGAAAACTTTCTCGTTTTTTTATAATCCTGACGTCTGCATAAACTAGACGGAAACCAAACCGAATTGGATTCGAATATCGCATCATCTTAATTAAACCGAGTGGTGTTTCTCACTTTTTGTTGACTTGAGGGAGTAAAATTTTCTTCTTCGACATTATGAAAATTTTCGTCTCAAAATCATTTTCATGTGTTTTCTGAACGACCTAACTTCGTCGCTGCATCATGAAAAATTATGTATATTCGTCTCCTCATGTTCTCATTATGTAAAGAGTGAAAGTTTTTGATGCTAATTTGGTGAAAATTAACAAATTTCAAGAGGCAAAGGCATGCGCTTTTCCCATCCTTCCGTTCCAGAGAGAGTAACTTTCACCTCGAACTTTATCTAGCTTTCTCCTTCTCCGGAACCTGGAAAAGTGGGATGGATGTAAAAACAGGACTCAAATGGCGAGGACAACGTTCCATCCCGACCCGTGGTTGCAACTGATCCGAACAATTCCGTCGGCCGTGGCACTTCATTCTTACCATTTCCATCCGTTCTCCTCCTCCATCCGTTTCAGTATCAGTGTTTCAAAATCAAAATATTAATTTGGAAAATTTTCAGCCCTCACAACTTTCATATTTTGTTTGAAGCAAATAATGTGACTTTTCTCGTCCGACTTCAAAGTGAAAGTTTACAAGTGGAACGAAGACCGACCGACCTAGTTCAAAATTGCGACGTAAATCCAAAATCAGGTGGCTGACATGTGTTGCTCGATCAGAGCTGCGGTTTTTTTCTTGGCAAGCCTTCATGTGGTAAGAGAGAATAAATTACATTTCGAAATACCTTTTTCACAAAACATGAATAAATCTGTGGGTTCAAATATCACTTTTTTTACCGGTGGACGAATATGTACAGATCTAAAATTACACAAATTTAGGTTAACAGATGGACATAACAGTTATGTTTCAATTTCGCAAAAATGTCTGCCGGGTCAGGGAGAACGTTCCCCTGGGTTGAAACCGCAAATAAAGATATCTTTTATGGATAAGCCACCACACACGGAATCCATTCAGAATAAGGGCCTCGTATAGTTATACAACACATCTCTCTAGGCAGGTATCTGCATTCCATTGCAGTTATGTAATCAGATAGGAATTTCTGTAACAATAAATCCCACCAACATTACACATCTTTTGTTTATCACTCGTTCAAAAAGCGGAGATAGCATTGTCCACGTGTCGTCATCATTTCACTGCTTATCATTCCGAAAACTAAGCACAATAACGTTTTACTGGCAGCCTGACTGCGGTATACTAATTCACAAAGCTGTAACTTTTTACGATAAAAGCGGGTGAAATTGCAGAAGAGGAAATTATAAAATGACGATGTTCAAACTAATAATATCTACATTCCGTTGGTATCATCATTATTTACTTTACTTTCACTCTTGCAATAGTTCTTTGCTCATCTTCTTTTAATAGGTTTTAACAATTTCTACTTGCTATAAAACCTTGGCATGAAAGCATTATTGAAACTTTAGAGCTGAACAACAAATTTAATGCTCATTGTGATCGTGGGATAAACAAAGTTATTTACGTAAGTAGTTGTAAATACGCCTTCTTCAATTTCCGCTTACTCATTTCCATATTTAGCATGTAAATAGAAAACTATTTTAGTACATGAAAGAAAACCCTGGGTTTAAATGGAAAATCGGGATTTACAAAATCGCTGTTCAAAATTTCATCTCCATCACAAAGAGAAAGATGAGTAATACGCTTATGTACATACTTATTTTTTACCATGTGTGCATATTTTACTACCTAATATGATTTCCGTACTACTTAATCTGACCCAAAAAAGGAAACATGTTTCACTCTCACATTCAACAAAATAACAATAATTGTTAACAATTTATACGAATTTTCTCATAAGGAGAAAGTTTGAGGATAAAATTTATATAGCTTTGCATAAACATTATGATATCAAAATTATCCTCCTCCTACTTCCGACCAGCACAGCAGTCGCCTAATAATAATAAGGAAGCAAAATGTGTGTATAAATTTTGGTGAAAGTGAGCACAATAAAGTAGGCAGGTGGGTATAAATGCCATATATCCGACCCATGCCATCCACCTTTCTCCTCCTCCTTGTCCCTTATTATTGTACTTCTTAGTTCCTGCATGTTAAACGGATTACACTGCCACTTTCACCGGATTAAATTAAAAGCTCCAAGTACACGAAGGAAAAGGATTACCCATTACACCGCAACAGTTTAGTTTACTTGGTTTCTCAGTCTGCAGAATCGTGCCGTATACCTCATACTTTCACTTCCAGGAGGAGATCTGTCTCTGTCTGTAAATTATGGAGCTCAAAACCCACACGCCACAAGCACAGTAACTCTAAATCGTTAATCGTTCCTTCCTTGTTCCTGATAACAACAGAGGAAAGCTTACTTTCCCAAACAATACCAAAACACTAGCTGGATTGGATTGGTTTGGTTTCCGCGAATTTTTAATTAAATACCGCAAACTCAACAACAGCAGGGCAACTAAACAAATAGTAGCGAATCGCATCGAATGTGTCAGCCCGGTGGTGCAGAAGAATTTATTTATTCGCCCATTTATTCAACAACTTATATACGCATAGATACGTACATACGAGTAGATTATGAGATATATTAACAAATGGACCAAACCAACATTTATAAAAGGAAAAGCTATGTAGGTATGTATTGTATGAAATGATTTATGGATCTGTATTTTCGCAATGTTTCCAGTATTTCGCGATCGCTCAGTTGGTCGGGATTCTACCCACGGCCCTTTCTTCCCTGACGAGCCGTAAGTTTCAATTCGTTCCATTTTACATAAATAAAGGGGCGCGGGCCCGATTTAATTTCGTAATAGTGATTGCGTCCGGATAAATAAACGAGGAGAGAATGAAGTGACAGATAATTAGTTGGGTATGAGGCGAGTGTGGGTGGTATGTGAGTGTGAGATTAGAATAAAAAGGGACGACACGACCAGAAATTTATGGAACCTTGCTCATTATGTTGGTCGTGGAGAAAGGGAAAGTCTGCCTGGCTGAGAAATCCGGCAGAACGAGGACTCCTTTCTCCACCACCACCACCACCACCATAAAACCCGGACTGCCACTACTATATCCAAGTATTTGCGATGTGGTGTAGTGCAAATGTATCCAAGTTATTATTACGGTTTGGGTTTGTCGTGGTGGTAAAATATATAGCGACGAGGCACACTTCACTAACTACTTGCTCCACATCCGGATTTGAAATTACAGAGACAAAAGAAATGGGCAAATAATGGAGTAGATTTCCCCGGGATGCTTCACCAACGTGGTATTAATAACTGCAGCAAATATGTGAGATTTGGCAAACAAGGGGATTCGCAGTATCAAATATTTACATACATTATTATGAACCGCGAATGATTGATTTTGCTAACTTTCTCCCCCAATGGGTGAACGGGACCAAGCACTCCATTACATTTTAGACCGCGGGGAGAAGAAGATCTCATCCATCTTGTTATTATTATCATTCTTGTCTCCATTATTTCCTCCTCGGCGATACGTTTCTATACAAATGCGAGGTAGACTTCTACAATGCGGAAGGAATTCCACTTTCACTGCACGCCTCTGCAATTACTCGAGTAGACGATTTTCATTATCATTTCCCTCCTCCTCCAACTTCTTATTCTGTATTAGATACGTTTTCCGTATTGCTCTAGATACGTTTGGCACTACAAAAAATAGAGAAATACAGAAATTTATGTCTCCATCATTCCTCTTTGTTTTTCTAGCAAAATAAATCCTCCACGACACGCTAACTCTAATTTTCTCGTTATGCTAAAATAGGCAGCGTACATATATATCTAGTCATTCTTATTATATTTATACAATTCTCATCTAAAATCTACTTGACAAAAGAATAAAAAAATTTGAATCCTCTCCTAAATTTTTTACAGGAGCACTCGAAGCCTTGTTGGCCCTGATATTCGCCGTTTTCTTTTTCGCCAGCGGTTTCATGACTTTTCGTGGTGCGGATGAGGTATGTAATAATTTACATTATTCATTTATTTATTAATTTACGTCGACATCTGGGGTGGAGAAAGTGGAGAAAGTACTAATTAATTGAGGATGAACATTACGTAACTGGTTGGTGTGATGGACGTGGGCAACTTTTCCGTCTCCATTTTCCCAGCCACTTTTACAAATTGGACAAATAATGATAAATCCTTCATCAAATTAGGCCAGACCAAAGTTGACATGATGAAATTATTCACTCATTCACCGCCTTGGCAAGACAGGAGTACAAAATATGGTGGCGGATATGTCCATGTACTTGTGGGGAATGAAGTAGAGAAGAAGAATAAAGATAACTAAAATGCAAATCCTAGCTCTCTCGCGTGTTGTGTTATATAAGAGCACAATCAGTAATATCACGCCACGGCCATGCACAAGCTTCGTGATGCTTTCCAACAAATCTTTGGATTATTGTACGTACACGAGAGTAATACGAAATTCAGCTCAGGGGTGAATATGCTTTCTCTCTTCGTGATTTATAATATGGACTCAACCTGTGTAACTAATAAGTAACAAAGGATCGCAGTATAGCTCCGTCACCCCATTTCAATTCTGTATACGATTTAATGAATTTCCGTTGTGGTCGATTTGGGCTGATGAATGAGTGAAAGCTGGTGAAAGTCAGGGCGACGTAATAAAGCAGCCCTACTGCTGCTCCTCACCTCAAGTCCTTTTCAATACAAATTCTACATCTCTAGGATCACGGGCGATTTGCTTGATTTAGATTTTGATTCTGATTGAGTTAAAGTCAAAGTGGTTTGGCTGTGTTCCGATTTTGCTGACAAAGTGGGCCTGTCACCCCTTCTGCTTCTTTCCCGATTGAGAAAATGACTATCCACAGGTATGGATCGAGGGAAGATATGTATGGGTTGAAACATGTCACCCTTTTGACGACCAAATGGCACCACGCACCATTTCTGGATGACGCCTCCTTCTCGAACGCAACAACCAGAAACACATGGACATTCTCGTGAAAGGGTTGGCTGGCAGGTTGAGAGGAGAAAGTTGTGTCGTCGTCGTCGGATGCAGGAAAGATAAGACTTGCTGATGTAGTAGATATTCCTGAATGTAGGAGGGGATCGGGTGTGACAAATCACAAAGACGACAGGTCTGATGACCCACTTCATCTTCCCTCATGCCTGCTTCGGTGGGGTGTTCAATCAAATAAAATATTCCCTCCTGTGAGAGAACCATCCAGGCTTCTGACCGACCTCAGTCGGAAAATTCTAAATTGATGTCTTATGTTCTTGTCAGCATTATTATTGTCGTGGATGGACGTGGCTGGGTGGAGTGGGGTTTGTTAGAAACTTGCTGCCGGGTGCAGAAAAAAAGTGAAGTTAAACTTGTTAGTATACATTTTGTCCTAATTCGCATGCCATACATAGTTTGCCATAGGTATTTATGAGGAAAAAATATGTATCTGCTACACAGCAGGAGCTCCCAGTTTTCCAGAAGAATTAACCAAGTTGAAAAGAATTGGGGGAGAAAGTAAAGGATTTTTGACAGAACAAGAGCTTCTTGACATCTCCGTCCTCTCGTTCGTGATGACATGAAACGGAAATGAGAAAGACGAGAGGAGGATGATGTTGTGATGGTTGACTTGGTCCGTGAAAGTTGACGACGAGGACGACAGTGACGCAGAGATTAAAAATGGTGCTGCTGCTGCGGAGGAGGTGGAGGAGGCCTGTCTCCTCGAGGCTTGTTTCTCTAATTTCTAAATTCCACAAATTCTTCAAGAAGTGCACTGGGCCGGATGGAAAATGAAACTTTGGTCTCCACAAAGAAGAAAGCAACTCATCGTGAATATATGGATAGAAAGGGGGAGAGAAAGTGGTGGTGAAAGTGCGTCATTTTCAAGCCTCCTTTGACAACAGGGGAGACGATAGAAGTAGTCTCGAGGCCGTCTTCTTTTCTGTGATCATCATAAATATGTACGACGTAGTAGTTTTTACGTACCTATTAATTTATGCCTGCTTACCAATTGCGGTGTAATTGGGAGAGAAGGGTTTTGCGGGCGGGTTGGCAATTTTTCAAGTTTTTTTCATAACTATCACGGATCACGTTGTATGTGAATAACACCTTAAAAACGGGAACTATATGAGGCTTCATTTTATCAACTTTTCTAATTAAATCTCATCATCATCATTTGCATATGATGACAATAACGATACACAACACGTGTTTCGCGACTTACTTTTTCTCATGAGAGAAAAGCTCCATGTAGAACAGGACACGGTTTGGGAGAGATAATAAACATAATTAGAACGAGGGATGAGACAAAATTAAATTAAATGCGGCATACTTTTGCTTTAATATTGCTAACTTGATTAGGCAAGGTCTCAAATTCGTTTTGATGAAGGATTATCATGACTAAAATCAAGATACGCAAATAAGTATGATACCAGACTTTAAAAGCTATTATTATTCTTTAATTGCATACCTACACACATCTCCAAATAAAGTTTGAAATCTCTCTCTTTCCATTATCTCCAACTACGAATTTATTTTTCGCAAAAAATAATAATCCATATTTTGACTAAATCAACTTTCCAATTTGGCCCGAATTTGAGTCTCACTCAACAAGCCAGCTCTCAACTTTGAGTCGAGAGGATGGAAAAGATGATTAAAACTTTTCCCAACTTTTGTAATAACGTGCTTAATTACTTACTCTCGAAACTGCGGGATTTCATAATATTATTTCCTTTTTATGCCATTACATTAACCATAAGGTATAGAATAAAGTTGAGTTGAGGGATTAGCACCGTCATCATCACGCCCTATTTATTGTAGCGTAATCTCAGCCAGTATAATTATAGTTTTGTTGGGCAAATTCATTATTCCGTGTCCTCCTACTGATCCTAATCATGAGCTAATTTGGCTTTCGATAACATCCAAAATAATACATAGTTACATGTCATTAGCAGGAATACGTAGTCGTATCGTATCGATATAAGTAAATTAGTAAGCCGTCCAACTTTTTATTTGTTCAACTAACTACTTATGACTTATACTAACGATGACTTTTGGAAAGTTTGGATGATTTACAAGCTCACCCAATTACTTACTTTGAGTCTCACTCACTCGGCCAAGCCAACAAGCCACAAACAAACCTTGTGAAGAAGGTGAAGTGAAAGTTAATGAGTAAAAGAGAGAACACAACTTCCCCTTAATCGGGCATGTCACTACCTAAAACGACGACTTAAAATGGCAACATACGTTTCTCTCAAATTCAAAATTGACATTTAGAAAGGTCACCTTCTTCTTCCATCAAATCAAATAACAAACATTAATTAGAAAGATAAGGAAAAACGGACTTGTTATGTCCTTCCTTCCTTTATTTATCGACACTCCGGTCTCATGTTGTCTCACTTAATAATCCTGTTATTGTGGTGGAAAAGGGAGGCAAGGAACCAACTAAGTGAGCATTCGTCCGGACCAATTTCGCCCACAAGTAATAAATCATCCAATCCGATAAGTCCCCAGTTTCTTGTCGTCTCTGTATATCGTCGTCCTTCTTGTTCCTGGTGATATGCAGGCAGTATCAACTTGGGTGGTTTCGCCTACGATGGTAGTGATGGTAGTCGTAGTCGTGGTGGTGGGGGGGAGATCAAAGTGAAGTGCTTCAATTAAAAGGCTTCAACCTTCCCTACTCCGTTCGTCCGTAAGAGCAAAATTACTTGAGAAGACTTTCTCTCTCCTATTACGAATCGGAGGCAGCAGCAACTGCTGCCGGGACGCCAAGCAACTTCCTTCCGTCGTCCTTTTGCATGGAATTCCCTCGCAGAGAGAGAAATATCATTCTTCTTCCTCGAAATACGAAATACCAGAATTTACTTTCTCCCATAGTCATTACTTTCTCCGCCTTTGATTCCTTCAACGCATAATACATTGTACGTCTCCCTCTCTCACATTATTCGCCATCCATCGCATCGGATCCAACAATCACGCCTTGACAGAACTGCTCATTCCGAACCACTCAACTAATTTCGAGTACTTTCAACTTAATCTATTCCATAAATGTGAGACGGCGATCCAACTAATGAACTAACAAATAATGGGGGTATGCAAGTAGTGGAAGTAATGCGGAAATATGATGCCAACCGTGGGCTCCATACATCCACCCACGTTGTTGTCATTCTCATGAAATACAATGAACTAGCAGATTTTTTGGATAAACGCAAAATTTCGGTAATAAAAGTAGCATAAAAATCTATCTAAAAATGAATGAAAGCCATACACGTGCTCTCTCCCTCCAACGTCCCCGAAATTAAGACAGATTGGGAATGTCGTTCTGATCTATGTCTCTTCTTCCAAACAATGTGCTCACTCGAGGAGAAAGTTGCTCGTTGATACTTACGACTCGAGAGAACTACGAGTCAAAGCTGAGATGAGGGACATTGTGGTCTGGTGGGATGAACACATTGTCGTACTTTGTCTGAAAAAGAACATTACACAGGACAATAAGAACGGACATGCAGGACAGAACAATAACTCTGATTTTACTTGATTGACTCGCATTGTGTTCGAGAGAAGAGAAATAAAACACGGGGTGGAATTTTATTATCCTAATTGATATTGATATTTCCTCAGAGAGCAAACACTACCACAAACCAAACCACCGACCCAGACGAGACAAATAGGCATTCATCACAAAGGAAAAGTGTGTACACAGGAGAGAAAGTGAAATCAAGTCAAATTATTATTTTGCTCGTTCCTCGACCTTTAATGGAAATAATTAAATTATATAAAGTTGTAAATTACGAAAGAGTCGAGTTTCAAGGAAAATTTAAACTTTTCAAGTGTCATTAGATGAATGGACAACAACTATTCAACCGTTTCCTTATACCATTTGATGCTCGTTTTATTTACTGACTGACTGAGCCCCACTCTTTACAAGGCAGTCAAGCAAAGTCCTTTTCATTTCGGTGTGTTTTAAAGTAAAAAGAGAGACAAAAGTTTTTTCTATTTGCTTTCACCGACAACCGACTGTTTGTGCGGAATTTCTTTGCAAGTACTTATCAAATAAGCGTTTCCTTCCTTCCCATCCATCCATTCTTTCCTGATTTTTCCTGTGACAAGTAGTCAACCAGACTTAATTTGTTTCTTTTGAAGAATATATATACGTAGGAAACGCCAACTTTTGTTTTTATTGAGAAACCTTGAAATCATTAAGTATTTGAAATTCTAACGTTTTCTCTTGTGATTTCTTTATACTTTCCAATAATGAACTGCGTATGTGGCGAAGTAAAAAAATTCCGTGAAGCGTGTGGTGTTTGCTTTACAAAAATGAATTCTTTTGTATTTTTTCTCCTTTTATCTCGAGAAAAATAGATGAATTGCCGTGTCGACGAGCTGTGTGAACCGTGGGATCGTGTGTATTGTATATTTATTCACCAACTTTCACAATAATTTCCTTCATGGGGTCAGTAAATGCAGTGTGTCTGACATAGCCTTTTTCCTAAACCCACCACTTTCACTTTTTTTTAGTGGGAGAAGAAAGAAAGCACTGAAAATTCGCACAAGAGCACGGTTTAAGAAGAAAAGAAAACGGCGGTGATGTGTACACTGCATGGTTTGTCTGCCGGTCGGTCGGTTGGTTGGTGCAAATTATAAAAGACTTTTACTTTTACTTCCACAGCAGGCAGCCCTCGTACTCAATTCGTCGATTTCTTCTTTATTCTTTATGGTTCACTCACTTTCAATCTTTGTCGAATTTCCTCCTCCTTTTACTGCCTTCTAAACAGGTTCAGCTAACGAGAAGAATGTAGGGAGAGAAAAGCAGTGAGAGCGACAAAGACAGCGGAGAGGAGAAAGTTCTTGTCCTTTTGTTCCAACCTCTCTTCTTCTCTTTCCCTGACCGACTTTTCGTCGTGCTTTTCATTTTTTTGTATTTTACGTCCCCACAAAAAAACACGGACCTCAGCGATTCAAAAACGATTCAGACGCAGAGGCCAACGGGATATTTCGGTGGAGGCGGTTCAAAAACTTTCTCAAGTGGTAAAAGAAGGGAGATGAAAATATAAGAACATATTTTCCTTTTAGTGGTATAAAAAAACAAGCAAAAAATGACACTCATCGCTTGTTTGTATGTTTTATCCGTAAACACGATTTGTCGGCTGGTCTTTTTACCCACGACGGACGAATGTGCGTGTGTGACGTCTTATATAAGATTCAGTTTAGTTCGTTTTTCGGCTCTGTCAACTTAATTAAGCTTTTGTTGACTAAATTTATGTACATACATGAAAACCAAAGTAAGTGAATGTCGGCGGCGGCGAATGTACAAATATTTACTTCCATCCGTTTAAAAGGGTTGAAACATTCCGCATGTGGGACGTTGTTGATTAAGATTAAAACCACGCTGTACACATCCACGACGACCAGCTTCTTTATTTGCTGAGAGTCCCGTACTACATAGTAATTTCTGTCAGTCGGACGACCTTTGAGGAACACAATAAATGGGTAGAATTGGACGACAGACAAACCGAAAATGCGGAGGAGGATGGATGATGATGACAAATCTCGCGTGGTCAATTCCGTTCTGATTAATGTCAATTCAGCAGGAACTGAACGAACATGTCGACAATTTTCTGCACTGCTTTTCCATCCATTTCTTTGTTCCTTCCATTTCACAGACTTTGCGGAATTAAATGACAACACAACAACGGTCCATCATCATCAAGTAAAAAGCAGGTTGTTGGGCGGCCGTCTGTAAATACAACATAAATGGCGTTGAGGTCGCGGTATGGATGTCAAATTGAATTAATGTCCAAATATTTTGGTCTGCCGAACAATGAGTTATGTCCAAGTCGGTTTATTACTTTCGTTACTTGCGTCATTTCAAGTAATCAATTATTTTATTCGTTTGTGGTAAAAATAGAATGGCAATTCCAAAATCTAAATTTGGAATCAGTGCGGTGCAACAGAAGGTCGATGCAAAATTGTAAATAAATTATTTTTACCTCGATTTAACATATATTTTGGATAGGAAAGCTGTGAAAAGTCAAAAATAAACTCAATTCAGCGAGAAAGCTGAATCCAAGTAGAAAGTTCTTTGATCTTATATTCCTTTGAGATAAGATGCGTTCAAAAGAATGTGATGACATGACAAAATCATCATCAGAAAATTGACCATCTTATACATTACGCAACCTATTCAATAGATTGACCACGGTAAGTAATATATACCCTTCCAGCCAAGAAAGGCAAGATTTAGCTCGTATTAACTGTCAAAGAATTGGCCATGATCCATCCAATTAATCCCAGACATAATTTCTGAATCCATTTTTTGAGGTAGTAAATTCTCCATTTCTCGAATCGAAGAAAAGCCTTCCGAATTTCTAATATGTACGAGCAAAACTTGAGACTCTCGACTCGACAGGAATGAGAATTCTGTTCTCATTTCATTAATATTGTCCTTGTCTTCTTTTGTAACTTCGCAAATGAGACCAAACGACTCTCCACTGAAATTTGACCTGTCAACTTGCTTACATATTATACAACTTTCACTTCCAACTTCCAGCCGGGATTGTGTGTACACATTATTATGAAAGTCCAAGGGTCTCCAATATCCAAAAACAAATGAACGTCTTCAGTACCCGCAGAAGTGTGGGGACAATATCCCCACAGTTATTCGATGTCCCTATCATCTGCCCATGTTATATAAACCCCTCCCTCCCCTATCCTACAATGTTATTAATATCCCCAGATGTCCCCACGGCTTCCACGGTCACTGGATGTCTGCCCTAATACCCGTCCACCTTCATAAATATATCCACCATCCCGACAAAACAGATATTATATTACTTTTGCTTCATTAGGCCAAGAAGTAGTAGCAATATCTGTCCCAAGACTACTCCCAGAAGTCTGTTTTGATTAACGAGCCTGAGAAATTAGCTCAGAATGAGAGAGCAAATTATTCAGTTTCTCAGAAGGTCGTCGGCAGGTATAATGCATAACTTGAGGTCTTCTTTTCTAACACAAAGTACTTTCTCCACTTTCCAAATTATAATAATTAACTAGCTAACTAGTAAAGATTTATTGAATTATATGTCACCTAACGCATAATATCTTCTCGTTTCTGCAGGAATCTCAAGTTCTCATTGGAATTGGTGGAATTCTCCTCCTCGTAAGCATTACATGAATACATGAACCATATTGTTATTACTGTTTCGGGAGAATTACATTTTATTTGCTTGTTTTAAGGTCATTCTCACTGAGCGGTTTGTCCTCATGTACTTTGGACTCTTGTTGAACCCCACCCTCCCCGAGGGCGATTTTCTGAACGCGTACGGTTTTTCCGGAACGGTTCCCGTCTTATTTACCGTCATCCTTTACATTGTCTACTTATTCATCTTGTTCGTCTATCATTACGAGCTGAAGCAGCACGTGCCGGGCAGTGGGGGTGGGATTGGTCTCCGAATCAGTGGGGGGCTCAATGTCCGAGCCCTTCTTGAGAAGAATAATGGAAGTCCGCGACATTTTTCGGGAATTCCGGATGCTCCAGCCGGTTCGAATTCGAATATTACAAACGCCATACCCAAAAATGGGGTTCAATATCATCACGGTGCAAATCCAAATTTGAACAATCATCATAATACAATCATTAGTCGCCCGTGAACGCGGTGGATTTACAAAATATGAAAAATGAAAGAGAATTTCGATAGAAAATTTGAAATTAATAAATTTCTAACCAATTTCCCTGGCTTATACTGTAAACCTCACCCGTCTTTCACAACCAAAACCTGTACATTAAATTTCATTGTGGAATGAAATTAATTCTATTACCTTACCCAACAAATTTACCAGAGAACAATAAAATTGAACTTCCACCTCACCCGCATCACCGACGAAATTCACTCCTATTCCTTCCTTCCTACGTAATATTCTAGTCTTCGGTCACTTTTGTAACTGAACTTATTCCATCGTCATCGAGCCAAGAAGATTAATACAGAGAGATTATTATAATTAAGTTTAGAATATGTAAATTACATATATAATTATCTCTGCTGATTGTGTTATGTCATGCCAAAAAAATTGTAGAATTGACTGAAACAATAAAGATTTATAGAATAAAGTATAAAAATCTGTCCTATTGAAAAAATTTTTCTCGTTTATTTACTTGTTGACACTTTCAACATTTCATAAATATTTGATATTCTATTTTGCACGGTTTAAAAGGACATTTTAAAATACACTTTATTCCTAACTTTCGGATCTTCTTGATCCTTCTTCAATTCAATTGATTGCATATTTTTTTAAATTAAGAAATACAAATGACTAATTTCATAAATATCTCAAATTTCGTTAAAAAATTATAAATTTCGTCTCATTTGACGAGAAGTCTCATTTCGTCGCAGGGTTGGCGAAATAATTTTTTACGCATTTTTGGGTTGGCGTGGGAAATCACGTCACTCATGCACCCTATCGTCGCCCGGTTAAACTCACACGGTTGCCCATATGCGAATATGCTATGCACGAGGAGAAGGAATTTTCTTACTTGACACACTCTCGCTCAAACTGCTGCTGCTGTTGAGACCTTTACCCGAAAAATAACCTAACTGTGCAAAAAAATACACCAAGATAACCCATCGTCATTAAAAATTAAATTTGTTAGATAAGATAAGGCAAGTTTAGGACACCATTTAGTAGGAAAATTGAAGACGCGATTTTATATTGTCATCGGATTTTTATTTCGATTTTCTTCGATTCATCATCATCTTTGGAGAAAGTGGTCGTAAAAAAACAACGACGATAATTAAGTGGATTTTTTCCGGTGTGCTGATCAGAAAGGAGGAGACGATCGTTGATAAGCCATAACTCGTAGTTAGTTTAGGTTTAGTGGATGTTAACGAGAAATCTACACAGCTCAGTTCTGGTAGTGCGGATTTCATCAGAAAGAGAAGGTAAAAATATGGAGTATTTACAAACTACGCAATTATATAATTTATATATTAGATAATGTAGAAGTAAATGTTTCAAAGATTAAATTGAAGATGGAGTATTTAAATTTGAGATTTTTTCTTTAAACTTTATGTGAACCTCAAAACATAAACTGATTTTTAATTCCGTTTTGAGTAGTGATTGTTTATCAATAATTAAAGTATTATGTAAATATGGAACAATAATAATTTGTCTTATTTTTTCGTACTCTATAGTCCAGTCTAATACTGAGTCGAGCAACACCGGCGACTAAAACTAATGATGGATGCAACAATGGAGGATAAGACCAACTGTATGGACGATCACGGCGACGAGGGCGATGTTTCTTCAAGATTCTCAAATTTGAATGTCAACGCTGCCGAATTTGTGCCTTCCTTCTTGGTTAGAACGCCACAACCACCTTCTAACATTGATATCCCTGCGACCAACGGTAATTAAATAAATAATACTAGTATTTATTTCCATTAATACCACTACGATAATTAAATTTCAAATTGTTATGTTGGTACAGGCGACGATGTTGAAATGCCGGCAGCCCGATCCAGAGATATTGCACCAGAAAGTTGGGAGGAAGTAGCAGAAGATGGCGACAGTCCAGATGGTGACCCCCCGGAAGACGATTCTGAAGAAGTGGCCCCTCGTATCAAAAAGAAACCAGTTCGCCCTGAAGAGACCAAAAGCAAGAAGGAACACATTAACGTTGTGTTCATTGGGCATGTTGGTGAGTGATTTGTCTAATTTTCTATAAATAAACTGCTTTCTTGTTTGTTAGCAATAATTAATTAATGCGTTGTTCACTTTTAGACGCCGGAAAGTCGACGATTGGAGGTCAAATTATGTACTTGACAGGCATGGTGGATAAACGAACGCTGGAGAAATATGAAAGAGAAGGTGGGTACCTATTTCATTGATTTGCATGTAAATAATTCAATTTGCATATATTAATCAATTTTTTTGTAAACAGCTAAAGAAAAGAATCGAGAAACATGGTAGGTTTGGTTTTAAAACTAGTTTATTTATACCAAGAAACAATTCACTATTCACATTGTAATTTAAATCCCAATATTAGGTACCTTTCATGGGCTTTAGACACCAATGCAGAGGAACGTGACAAAGGAAAAACTGTGGAAGTTGGCCGGGCTTGTTTCGAAACTGATAAGAAACATTTTTCAATTTTGGACGCACCTGGTCACAAAAGTTTTGTGCCTAACATGATTAGCGGAGCTGCTCAAGCTGATTTGGCTGTTCTGGTGAGTATCAAAATAAAACAAATTAAACCACATAGAACAATATTGAAATAATTTAATCAATAATGTTCTTTTTTTCATTCAGGTTATCTCTGCCCGTAAAGGAGAGTTTGAAACTGGTTTTGAGAAGGGAGGGTAAGTTGAAGTTTTAATAATTTAAGCAATTTTAAAACATTCCAATTATTCAACCACTTTCCTATAAAACTATACCTAATATTTATACGTTTCGTTTATTTTAGTCAAACAAGAGAGCATGCTATGTTAGTGAAATCGGCTGGCGTCAAGTTCTTGGTGGTGGTGAGTACAAATTAAGAACGGTCAGATTTTCGCTAATTTCTATATACATAAGTAATTTTCTTGTTTAGCTTATAAATAAAATGGACGACCCAACCGTCGAATGGTCCGAAGTGCGGTTCAACGAGTGCAAGGAGAAGCTGTTGCCTTTCCTTAAAAAATTGGGCTTTAATCCTGCCAAGGATTTGACCTTCATTCCCTGTTCAGGTCTCACAGGTGCAGGGCTAAAGGAATCTGTGGATCCTGCGATATGCCCGTGGTTCACGTAAGCTTCGAAATTATTAAGAAGTTTTGGTCTCTCAACAAATTAATTTATATGAATTGTTGATTTTTAGGGGAATTCCATTTATCCCATTTATCGATGATTTGCCTGCAATGGACCGCAAATTCGATGGACCATTTATGCTTCCAATTGTTGATAAATATAAAGACATGGGGACGGTCGTGATGGGGAAGGTGGAGTCAGGTCAAGCAAAAAAGGGTCAAACCCTCATCATAATGCCTAATAGGACCACCGTAACGGTCGACCAGCTCTGGTCGGATGACGACGAAGTGACTGCTGTCGGTCCCGGAGAGAATGTCAAGATCAAGTTAAAAGGAATCGAGGAAGAAGAGGTGTCGTCTGGGTTCATTCTTTGTGACCCAAGCAGTCCCTGTACCGTTGGCCGTGTTTTTGATGCTCAAGTGAGTTGAAACTATTTGATATAACGGTATTGTCGAGTTTAACTAACTAAATCTGTCACTTCTAGGTTGCTATTTTGGAATATAAGAATATCATTTGTGCCGGTAAGACAAAGAAACAGATTTTGTTACCTGTTATGTACACACGAATAGAGATGTATAATTTTGTTTTTAATATTAAAGGATACACGGCAGTTATGCACATTCATACATCGTCGGAGGAGGTGACAGTGAAGGTAATTTTGATTAGTGGTGCAAGTTATCCTAATCCATCATGTGTGAGCTCGAATTATGGCAAACAATAATACTATTTCAGGCCTTAATCTGTTTAATGGATAAGAAAACGGGAGAAAAGTCGAAGACACGTAAGCATAATTAAATTAATCATGATTATTAAACAATTTAAAGCTTAGAAACTCTACTTTGAATTGTGTATACCCAGGTCCAAGGTTCGTGAAACAAGACCAAGTGGCCATTATGAGATTAGAAACGAACGGAGTCATTTGCATGGAACTATTCAAGAACTATCCACAACTTGGCCGTTTCACGCTACGAGACGAAGGTATGAAGTCCTACATTAACTAAAAATTTGAAATCATTGACATACTAACTATTATGATAATACTAATATGATGTTTTCTCTTTTTCTAATTTACAGGGAAGACTATTGCAGTAGGAAAAGTCTTAAAAGTAATAGAGTAAAAAAAATGTTAGAACAGAGCTGATTTCGGAATGGTAACTTAACTTTGCTTGCGATACGTGTATGCAAAAAAAATGAAATCAATCGGATATTCATACTCTAGTATGCAGTTAAAAAGCAAACTATTGAAGTTTTTAAAATTTGCTCCAGAAATGTGAATACAAAAACTGAATTCAGGACTTAATAACATATATTAATGAATGATGATGATACTACAGATATTTAATTACTGTTAAAAAAATCAAGCTAATAATGGAGACCTATAATATGCATAATGGGTTTACGTTTGCGCTATATACATATATGCGGCTGAAACTCTTCTTTTGTACAGATATACAATTTGTATCAATATAATATTCAAAAATTAACTAATTATTATTGTTAATTATTGTTATTACTCCTCCTCCTCTGTTCTAAATTATATTTGAGCGACATAACCCGCCGCTCTTTAATTATTATTATTATTATACAACAATTGCGAATACGAATATATAGCAAGTACTTGTGTAACATTGCTGTTAGCTTGGTTATCTTCCTCTTATGTTACTCGATACTCTTCTACTCGCGGACCTTCTCCTTCCAGACGAAAATCATCCAATCAATCGTGGCTGGCTAACGAAACAAATAAAACTAAAACTTTCGGAACCAATACTTTAGTCTTTTTTGTTTTGTTTTACTATGCATCAATTTATTAATTGGGAAAATTATTTTGTTTCAAATCACAAACTACAAGTCATGTTAAAATCACAGTTTCCAATCTTGTTAGACAGTGCATCTTGGAACTGATTAAAAGGGCAATGCCATTTATTATCACAGCCAGAAATCTTGGTAGGTTTTTCCTGAAAGAAAAATCCGATTTCGGGATCAGGTCGGTTTTTACATCTGCAATTTATGTAACACAGTTAGTTAGCAATTTACATAATTTCATAAAATTTCCAATCTAAATATATCGTACATACTCGTATAAAGTAAATGCTAAATTCGTGCCCATCATGTCAATCAGACTGGTTCGCCATTTGTAAGAGTTTTTCACTTCCCGAAATCCAGCACTTGTCAGTGAAATTTTGTCCTCGAATAATCCCAGTCTCGCAATCATTTTTAATGTGGCCCCCGAATGTGAAAAATACGCTCTAACTGTAGTCATATGAGTCTTATTCCTAGCGATAAGTGATATTGATAAGTAATATTTCAAATTAATATATATTTAGATAATTGATATTTACAATCCTACAAACCTGAAATATTCTAACAGATCCTGAATTGGGACACACGCTTGCTCGTAGTTCACCTCGTGACCGTACCCATCTTTCCAGAAGTACTCGAGATCTTCCCGATATGCCATCACCTAATTATAATTATTAATATAATATCATAGTAAATTTCAAAATTATAATCACAATTCAGTTACTTGCAAGTCCTCCTTAGAAAAAGCTGCACACCAAGCGGACGCTTTCCCATTTTTCCAAGCCGTCTCAAAAGCACATGTCGTATAAATGATAGTGACCTCTTCCAATGTCAACCCTTCATCAATGAATCCCAACTTGTCGGACACTTGAGAAATCGTATGGTTCATGATCGTGGAGGATTCGAAGTTGGTAAGCTCAGAATATGCGGATGGGTTATCATCCACTTGCTCTGCCCATTTTTGACAGTTTTCATAAAACTATTCGGAAAATTAACGAGTATTTAACAGCAGATCAAAACGTTAGTATAATTTTGACACACCTTAAGCACTGGGTCTGACTTGATTGGAGGATCAAATATAGTTTCTGACACGTCACTCGCACTCTTATCAAAAGCACCTTGTGCAAAGGCCAGCGAACTTGCTATGGTACGTTGAGACTTTGTACTTTTGATGTGGATCTATTACATGGAAATATTTTTTTTAGAAATTTTTAGCTATTTAAAATATTTCACACCTTGGGAGACGAATCGTTGTGGAATAAATGTGGAAATCGTTTCCGGTACCGTTTACCGATTCCTATCAATTCTTTGGCACCCTGTTTGACCAAGTTGGATTCGTTCTCGAGCGTCACATCTTCCGTCATAGCCCATTCTTTTAATTTTTTGACTTGTTTCTTTGAAAGTTGTCCTGATTTTTATGGTATTAAGTTTTTATGGTAAACTATTTAATAAACAATCCGTTCAAGGTACAAACCTTGACATGCGTCATGCGCCGATACGATTTTGTCCCTAATTGAAGGAAGTAATTTTTCCATTCTGATCGTATCCTTCTTTCCTGGATTTCGTGTCCCGTGTCTCCCGAAATACCAAATTTTTGTTGCCTTACATTCTATCATGTTAAAAATAGCAAATATTTAGTACTGGTCAATTTTTTGTGCACGCATACCTTTAAACGGCAAGTACTCTTCTTGCTTATCATTCTTCCCATCAAACCGGTAAGGTCCTTTACTGCTCAAGTAATTTAGCAATTTATCTCCAGATAATGTCTTCGAGTCGTCATCATCATCGTCGTCGCCATTATTCCGTTTACACTCTCTGCTATCTTTCTCCTTATTTTTACTTTTACTAACGCTGACCACGATAAATGTGCACACAACAAGGAGCACTAACAAATTTCGGGAAAATCTGTTCTGAAAATCGAAAGGTCTCATTTTGACACGTTACTTTTTTATCAGCAGGCCGCTTAACAATCTGCATAGAAGAACAGACAACAGGATTTAGAATGACATAAGTACTTTTAAATGAGTTGGATTTTGTTTTAATTCCTCATCGTGCAAATAAACCTAAATTAGTCAAGCCAAGTGTGAAGGATAAAGAAATTACGACATGATTCATCCAACAACGAAATTTTGTGATGCATGGAAAATTTCATTACAATTGTATGTCATAACCGCAATTATTGCAATTCTCACTTAAAAATATGACCTGTCATTCCCACCCACATAAAGGTGTATGCACTTATTTATAACAATTTAGTTTCATTCACCTCAAACTATCAATCAAGTAACGAACCAATTCTCGGTCATGTCAAACAAGCATTTTCGTATGAAATGGTTCCACGAAACATGTCAATGTATGTATGACTATGTTTTTTATGATTTTTCGCGAAACATGGTCAACATGCAATTTAATGCAATATATTTCTGCCTAGTTTTTTGCTAGGATCAGAATTGGCTGTATATGCATGCACGTTCAAGGCTGACCTTCCATCACTTGTTTAGTTTTTTTACCATTACTTCATCATCAGTCTTCCTTATAAACCACTAACTTTTGTGGCGATGTTATGTACATTCAAAAAAAAATTTGCAATTCACTTGTGCTTCAAATTCGACGATGGTCATGTGTCACACAAAAACAGACAGTCATACACGAATTAACTATTACGTAACACACTCCACTCATTCAACAACTCATTAGAATCATGCCTGGAGAATGAATACACAACAGCTTAAACAACAGATTTTCATTTGCATACCCAGATAATTTGATGGATGGATGGATCGGATTGGTTAAATTGATACTAAACACGAAAATGCAAGTGTGTTATTATACACGACAACACACCGTGTATTAAACGACAGTCAGTTATTTGCAGTCAGTTGATTGATTCGTATCTTGCTAGATTTTCTTCTCGTCTCGTACATAACACCGAAATAATTGTGTCAATCCTTCCCTCTTACACAAATACTCATTACTGGGAGAAGACGATTCTTCCTTTGTGTGACCGATTTCCCTTGCTACACTTCTTTCTCGGAAACTTTGTATTGTCAAGAAAATAATGGGGCGCAGGAAAGATGAGGACTTATTGTGTCCTCGTCTTAAGAATAATAATGATAATAATGATTTCAATTTGGGACACCACTCTTACGAAGAGGTTTTGACTCAGGGACAGATTTTGCAGCTGAAGGATGAATTTTCCCGTCTGAAAGGTAAGGACTTTCTTATTGCCTATATGTTCCACGTAATGATAGGAAACTGATAGATAAGATTGTGCTTAATGATACATGATGACAGAGTCCTGTTACCTGGATCATGCCGGGGCAACGTTGTATTCCAAGTCTCAATTGGAATCGGCTATGACGGAGCTACAGGAAAATTTATTCAGCAATCCTCACTCGAGAAATCCATCAAGTTCGATTACGACAGATGCGACGGATCATGTTCGGCAAAGGTGAAATTTTAAATGACGTGATGACGATGACATGAAAAATTTATGAAAGTTTTTACTTTTTCTCAGAGTTTTGGCACATTTTGGAACCAATGATGACGAATACTCTGTAATTTTTACGTCGGGTGCAACCTCAGGGCTGAAATTGTTGGCGGAATCATTTTCCTTTAATGAAGAAGGTAACATTAATTATATTTTGCAACTGTGTTTTTTAATTTATTGGGTTAGTTCAATATACAAATCGAGGGCTTGTAAAAAGTAAAAGTCTCCATAAACAATTGCTGTATTTGTATTCCTCTCGTGGTAAAAGACGGTTCCATTCACGAAAATGCTGGAAACTTTATATTCTGGTTTTCCATCCGAGCGGTATTTTTCCGAGATAAGGTTTTCCATAATTTTTTCCGCTGTGTCGAAATACGTCTGATTTCCTGTAACGGTGTACAACGTGAGGAGACCGTGCGCTGCAATGGCGGCTGCGGAAGTGTCCCTGGGTTGATAAGTGGTTTCAAAGTCGGCATCAAAATCCCAGTACGGCACGAAGTCTGGGGGAAGTCTCGTGATGAAATAGTTGGCAGCGATTTCAGCATATTCTGAATAAATTAATGTATGGATAAGCTTATATTTGACATTTCTGCTCGTTTTCATATTAAAAAAGATACATACCTAAAAATCTGGGAAAAGTCCCATTGGATTTCTGATAACTGGTGATATAGCCATGAATTACCCACGAAATACCTCTCGCCCAGGTCGAATTATCTCGTAGTCCTTGCCAATTATATTTCCGCTGAACATTCCCAGTCGTCTCATTGTACGCCACGACATGAAAAGTGCCCCCATCCGGCCGGAAATGCTCTTCAATTGTCCGATTGGCATGTGAGACGGCAATATCGCTAAAAATCCGGTCACCCGTCAGTTCAGCGGCTTTAAAAAGCAATTCCAGGTTCATCATGTTGTCTGCGATCACTTTTACCTCTCCAGGAACGCCGCCATGTCCCTCGTCATTGTTCCAGGAGCGAAGGACGCGTGCCAAAGCTGTCATTTAATTCAAATTACTATTCTAGATATCAATTCACAAATTCTTTAAAATTACGGTAAAATCTCGACGCTAAAGAAGCCGCTGCTTGAGTAATAACTGGCACAGCTATATTTTCATTCCCCGTCGTATATTCCAGACACAATCCAAACGTTGACATAATTACGAACCCAACGTCATGCGTGTTTGTATCGTATTGTCGCTCTTTCACTCGCTCTTGAAATTCTAGTGCCAAATTTCGCCAATAATTGTCCCTCGTCAGTTTGTACAGAGTCCAGAGACTGCCCCCATAAAATCCGACGGTCCATCGAGTCACGTCGTTCTTATCCCAGTATGCGTTTAAAGGGTTCGCCGTCGTGATGAAACCGGAGGAGGGGTCGTCATTCGATAACTGTTGGGACAACAAAGTGTATTGACGAACTGCGTAGGATCGTGCCACAGTTACGTCGAGGGACGACCCCAATTTGGCGAGAACTGCGAGAAGCAGAAATATCAGCGACTTCATTGTCCGTGGGTAGTTGTTGTCTGTACTAGTAACAGACCCCAAAATGCTAAACGATGTACACTAAATCTGCATTAAATGGGATTATTTATCAGATAATGTGCATATTTTTGTAAAATGATGGATGACACCTTTGTTATAATTTATTTAACTGATCAATCATCCCGTTATTATCAATAATCAAGTGAAATGATAACAAACAGTAATTTATTTATACCGTCATTATTCGTCAGGAATATTCGCTTACCTGGAGGAAAATCACACCTCAGTTGTTGGGATGCGAGAATACCTCCTGAAAAATAGGAATGGTCCGACGCACAAAAACTCATCAACTTCAAGTGTCTCCTGTGAAGACTCTTCAACTTCCAATAATGGAAATGGTCACGTTTACTGCGTGTCGAAATATGCGATGGAACAAATAATGATGAACTCACCGGTACCTCATTATCATGCTGCGGAGGTGGATGCGAGTGGCGTCTCGAAGAATTCTACGAGTTCGCCATCAAATGGTCTCATGACGTAAGAATTACGAGTTTGATGTACAAAAAAATTTGAAATATTGACAAAAATTTTATGTAACTGCAAATTAAGAGAAAATGCAAATGCATTATGTGCTATCCCTGCGCAATGCAACTTTTCTGGGTACAAGTACCCACTGGAATGGATTTCAAAAATTCAAAGTGGTCAATTGAACAGCATCTCGGAATCGGGCGACTTTTACATTCAGAACAAGACTTTCAAGACAAATCCAGTGAAAATTGGTAATGATAAATATTTTTTGATTAATGATAATCTTGTGCTAATTTTATACCTTGCTTTTACAGATCGATCATTGAAATGGTACGTCGTTTTGGATGCGGCGAGTTACGTCGCGAGTAACAGATTGAACTTATCCGTGCACAAGCCAGATTTTGTGACGATTTCATTCTACAAAATGTTTGGGTGGCCAACAGGTCTTAATAAAATTTATAATGGGACCGAATTTTAGAATTTAAAATTTACAATTTTATAGGACTTGGTGCGTTGATTGTGCGAAATAGTAGTGGACATATCCTCGGGAATAAGCAGTATTTTGGTGGTGGAACTGTGAACATTTCAATTCCATCGCTGCCGTATCATGTCAAGCGTTCCAAATTACATGAAAGGTTTCAACAAAAATTTCTTAAAAAATATCTCATTTATTCTAAGAAATTTTGCTTACTGTAAAATAACTAGATTTGAAGATGGGACAATCTCTTTCCTCTCAATTCTGGGTGTCAGACATGGTTTAAACGCGTTGACAAAGTTTTTCCCTGAAATGGATTTAATTCGGACAAGAACTTTTCGCCTAACCCAGTAAGTTTGTTTTACTGTTTTATTACCCATAGATTTTGATATTGTGACCTTTTGTAATGTTTCATGTCAGGTATCTGTATAAAAATCTCCGCAACATGACATACGAAAATGGACAACGTGTTGCCACAATTTTCTCCGACACAGAATACGACTCTGAAAAGACCCAAGGACCAGTAGTGACGTTTAACTTGTTGCGTCCAAATGGAGAAATTATCGGATATTCGGAGGTATGTAGATCAAGTAATTCTCCAAATTTGCAGTCATTATTTGTCCCCGTTTTTTGCAGATGGAACAAATCGCGTATCTCCACAACGTGAATCTTCGATATGGCTGCTTCTGCAATCCAGGCGCTTGTCGAAGACATCTTGGCCTCACTTCTCAACAAGTTTTAAAGCATTACGAGTCCGGACATGTGTGTGGCGATGGATTCGACATCGTTGATGGCAATCCAACCGGAGCAATTCGTGCCTCGATAGGATACATGACCACCAAGGAAAATATTGACTTTCTTCTCTTATTAATCTACAACTGTTGGATAAAACCGAGCAATGTGAGTACAACCTCAAATTATAGAAGTAATCACTCCAAAATTTTAAATTCTACACATATCGCATTACAGATTAATCAGAACTTAATCAAAAATCCCACTTTATTACTACAAGCTAACCGAGATTCCAACCAAAACGTGCAACAGATGGAAAATTCTCACACTTTGAAAAGTAATAAACTGCTCCAAATATTCGTCTACCCTATAAAATCGTGCGCACCTTTCCAAGTAAGTTCTTATCCAATTTTACCTCTGATTGCATTTCCGTCATGTTCCTTTTCTTGGTTCGTTTACCTCCAAATAGGTGAAGAGCACTTGGACGATAGGACCTCACGGATTACTATACGACCGCCAATGGCTCATTGTGAATTCAAATGGCGTCCCTCTAACAGCGAAGAGAGAGCCAAAATTGTGTCTGATTGAGCCCACAATTGACATATCAAGTAGACAGCTTATCCTCCATTTTCATGGTGGGTGATACTACACCTCTATTAGAATGATAAGTACATACGCGCAGTATTTTTGATAAGGACGGCATTTATTTTTTTCAGGAGACGACGATAAAAATAATGCAGTTGTTCCATTAGACATTTCTTCCTTCTCTAAAAATTATTCGGTCGAAGCCTCCTTATGCAATTCCAAAGTGAGTCCAGAATACACTGAAATTTTGTATTACATAATCCGCAATTATGTAATCTGCGATTTCACCACAGGTTTGCGGCGATTCTATCGTTGGCCTAGATTGTGGAGAAAGCGTGTCCACCTGGCTCTGTCGGGTCCTGGACAGATCAAACCTTAAATTGATTCGCATGTCGCCAGATCATCATCGCAAACCAAGTAAAGTTTTTATCAGAATATTTCCAAAATCTAGAGAGAAAAAAAAGAGTTAATATCTCACCCATACTAAAAAACTCTTTCCGAGTCAATATTTGACATCGAACCGTATTATTTGCCTACTTTGCTTTCAATCTCGGCCCCAATTCGTAATAAAATAAATCCGGCAGAGAAAGAGAGAGAGAGAGCATTTTGTTGATTGACTGAGAAAATGAAACAACCAGCTTTCCCTTTCCTCCGATAACAACACTTGTCTCATTCCCTTTTCTTCTTCTCCACTTTGTCCGCAGGGAACTCGTTGGAGGAGATTTCCTTGGCGAATCAGAGCCAATTTCTTCTCCTTTCAATGCCCAGTCTCACACAATTAGCGAGAGAGTTAAGGAGCAATGGAGTCCTTTCATCACTTAATATCCCGACCAGTCCCAGCCCCACCACTTACGAGGAGGAGAACGGTAAGAATACGGCTTTCTCTCAAATCCTGCTGGGGGAAAGCTAGAGTGAAAATCTTAATTATGATGATTGAGCTGTCGTAGGTAGAGAAGATCTCGATGAGAAAATAAATCGCGAAAATTGCAATTATCTAGATGACGATGCAATCCTTCAGGTTGGGACTTACGAATTTTTCTAAGACTTAATATAAGACAAATATAGTTGAAAGTGTTGGAAAAATTCTAGGCTGTCGTAGTTGAAAATCTTATCGGGAGATTTAGAGGAAACTTGGTGATTGGTGGGTCAGACTTGGATCATGCGGCGTATGAGGAGGAAACGTGGAAAGGAATTCGAATCGGGGGGACCGATTTCAAAGTAAATTACTCATATTTCATAAAGTGTGTATATGCAAATAGTTTGTCCAAATTGCATCAATAATAAATATTCTTTCTTTAGTGCGGAGGACCTTGCATGAGATGCGCCACGATTTGCATGGATCCTTTAACCGGAAAGAAAAGTGCGGAACCTTTTCTCACCCTGTCTCGTATTCGAGGTGGACGACCAAACTTTGGCGTTCATCTTTACGCAAGTAGACCTACTGACACTGATTATAATTTTATGGCGACTCGAACCCCGTTCCTTAAGACTCTGCGAATTGGAAGTCATTATGAAGTTGTGGACAATGCAGAAGAACAGAACTGTGTGAAAGATAAACTCGAAGCGCTTCGAAATATAGATTAAAATTTATTTTATTAGTCGTCTCATTTAAAAATTTACAAACAAAAATCATTTTAATATCGAAGATAATTACTCAAATCATTCAAAAATAAGTTAGTGAAACAATCGTCTTTTAATTTTTAACGGGACCTTCTTTTTTAATTGTCCTTTTTTCCCGATCTCGTGTTTGGTCGTTTTTTTGAAGGTGTCTCCTTTTTCGAAGAGCTTCCACCACAACAACACATTTTACACAATTTGATTGGAATATAAACTAATAAAGCGAGAATAAGAGAAAGGAATGCAATCACGTCGAGAGAATAATATGCGAAAAAATTTAATTTTGATGCTGGCGAACGCAAATGGACGGCCCCTTTGTGTCGAAGGACGTATTCTGTCCAGTACAAAGCGGTATCAACGGCAGATGTTTGACGGTCACGGAACAACTGCCCCGTTGCTTTTGCGGCCGATGCAAATCTGAAATTATGAAATATTTTTGTGTTGAGAATTTTAAGATTTAAAAAAATCAGAAATTTTAATTTACTAGAAAATTAACCTCTTATCTGCAAGCACTGTATTAATTGCGGTCAAAATTTGCTCCGTATTAATCGTGTTGAGCTCCAAAGCTATCCCATATCCGTTACTTACTGCTTGATGCATATTCATGTCGTGCTGGGAGAAAGTACGCAAATCAGTATTCATTAGCTTCAAATTTATACTTTCATAAATAAATTCAATCAGTTAAGCAACTTATCTGATCTCCAAATATTGGCACGCCAATGATTGGCACGCCATGATACGCCGACTCTTCCGTACTCAACAACCCCCCATGCGACATGAATACTCTGATCTTAGAATGTGCCAACAAATCCTGTTGCGGAGCCCATCGAACAAGTTTCACATTGCTCGAGAGACCCTCAATCTTATCCAAATCAAACTTCCAAAGCACTTTCTGCTTAATTTTCGAAAACGCGGTGACAAAACTTTGCAAGATGTGTTTCGGCATTGTGCTCCCTTTCACGTGGGAGCCCATGCTGAAATAAATGAACCCATCATTCCCCGACGACTCGACAAAGTCTTGTAAATCTTTCGGTAATGGTTTTCCTGGTTGACAGTGCATCCCTGCGACATCGATCACCTGTGGCATCTGGGGTCTCGGATAGGTAAGAGTAAAGTGGGCATTGTTCAATATAAGGCTGGCATTTGCCTCAATCTCTCGCGCGGATGGGGTCGCTTCACCGACATATTTTCGGTACGTGGTCTCCATATGGGGCAGGTAGTACCAGTCGTAGAGCGCCATGGTTCCCTGGTACGCCAAAAAGTTGAAGATTCGGTCAAGAAAGGTCATGTCGTCGGTCACTGCTCCGGCGGCGTAACTGGGCACGAATGATGCTGGGGGTCGGAATCCGGTGAAGCTTGACTTGTAGTGCTCGATGGCGTGGGGTTGGACGAAGATGTAGGACGTGTTCAGCTTGTGGACAAAGCCGTAGGTGCATTCGTTCTGTGAAGTAATTTGAAAATTAGATTTGCATATAATTTCCATAATAAGTAAGTAATTCACCATGTGAGACGAGACAAAGACGAGGGCAAATTTTTGCTTCATGACCGCTTTTACTTCCTCCATTTCATAATAGCTTTCGCACGCTTTTTGTAAATACGGGATGATGACAGGATTGATTGGGGTCCGAATCTTGAGACCTTTTAACCGCAGGTCGAAAATGTTTATGGGAGGTTCACCGTTCGGGTCACCAGCAGCCATCTCCTTTTCCAGAATGTCTTCAAAGTTGATGCCGTTGATCTCTTTCATGTTCTTATCGGTGTAGCCGGACTTTACGGGGTGAATAATCGTGAGTTGATGGCCTTTACGGGCGAGTTCGATGTAGAGAGGTTCGAACGCATTCTTGTGGCTTTTAGAACCAGAAAAAGCAACGACAAGGATTTTTTCAGAGGACACTTTCTCAATTTGGGTCAGTGTTAAAAGAGCTAGAATTAGCAATAATTTAGCCATTATTAGGCAGGTCGAATTAAAATACAATTTTGACTAATTAAAAAAAATATGAGAGAAGCTTAATCAGTCTGGGAAACAGGACGACTGATTTTTAGTGACTGAAAGCCGGCTTTATGGAATGAAGCTTTCTGTCCCTATGCAATCATCAGCAACAGTTTTTGAGTTGTTGGGTTTAAAAACGTGGGATTCTCAACAACACGTAAGTCTGGACAGGACTGGTACAAAAAATGACCTTCACTATCTCTGCCCAATTTACATATCTCCATCTCTACACTTACATATATACGTTCCATATACTACTTTACTTAATATGTTTATGTATTCTGTCCAGAACTGTTTGTGGTAACAACTTTATGTTTATGCTACTTGTAATCTCAAACAACAATACTGCACACATACCTAACACATGGACACAAACGTTTACTGCACTTGGTTGACTTTGCATAGGATGAATTATTTCGGATGATGAGGCGATTGTTACGAATTTTTCTTCTCTAAATAATTCTATCCTTACACAAACACCTGTCCACGTACCACAATTACTATAATTTAGACAGGTTATAAATCCCCAGGCAAGAAAAGTGCAGCAAAATGATGTCACTAAACTTGTACGTACGTAATGTTTTTGTTTACATAAATAATTATACGTGTAAAATGATTTTTTTAAACGGTTTTGAGGACTTGATTTCTAATAATTTTTATGATTAAAAAAAATGAATGCAATTAATTCTAAATTATGTACGTCATACACAAATAGCCAATTTGCAGCCAGCTTTATCACCCCGTTTAATAAAACCAGCTTCACATCCCATCCAAGCATTTTTATCCCTCCACACCAGGTACGGATCTCTCCCTAGAGGAAGAAAAGAAGTGTGGATCTAGTCGGGTGGGTGGGTCAAGTATCTCTCTTCCCTCCTCATCACCACACCGCTAAACCAGAAGCATAATATTATTACTTTGCTATTAAGCTGCTTCTCCTCCTGCAAAGAATTCCGCAGAGAATGAGAGAGTGAAAGTGAATCGAGAAAACGGATGGACGGGGCGATATGATTGATGATGGACTTTCTCACACCTCTCCACCTCCTCCTATTTCTCCTCATATGCACGCATCACCGCCCAACTAAACCTTTCTCGCTGGTGGATCTCCTCACAACTTTCACCCTGTTCACTTTCACTCACTGTTGGCATTTGGCACTCAAACTTGAACGCAAAACCACCACAATTTCTTTCATGGGGGAAGAAATCATCATTTTACATCTCGTCTCTCGACTGCCTGCCACTTTCCAATCATTTGAGACTGACTTTTTGACTTGAGAGCAATATTGTGTATGTTCCCGTACAATAATCGATCTTCAAAATTTTTACTAGCAGACAGCAGAATTCTAACGTGTTACGTAAATACGTATCAACAGCTACATTATGCTTCCAACCACCTACCACCTTTTCCTACTATCTGTTATGTTTCCAATTTTGGGCAAGTGATTTTTTGACAGGTTCAGATTTTCGGGAGAGTTTCACATTATGCTATTTCCACCACCACCACCACACCACCGTCATCCCTCAATTCTAAATTTTCTGAGCTCATAAACTCTATGTCCTCATGACTTTATCAATTCCATTAATTTTCCAAATTGGTTTTCAATACTTTGTATCTTTCAATTTAATTACAAAATGTAAAATTCAATCAAGTTCCGGATATTACAAATTAAGCTGGGCAGGATCAGATTTGCTTTACTTTGCCGTTCCATTTATTCCTCAGGTGTGTGAAGCCCGGCTTAACGTTGCCTTGGCATTTCGATCGAAATTGTGTCTTTTCATACATAGGTAAACTTACTACTAAAGTGAAAGTCAGTCACTACATTTAATACGGCGACGACCGTGTGTGTCCCGTGCAGGTTTTTGATACAAGAATGTAAACATGGCTGGAGTCCGTGGTGGTTCTCTTCTCGGTTTGAGTGTGATGTGAGAAAGATTTGGAAATAAATCCTCATTTGAGACTGAAGTGAGACAGCAGAGTAAATCTCACGAGATTGATTGCACATCACAAATGGGGAGAGGAGGAAATGTGTACTACCTCGTCTAGCCATTTCACTATTATGTACTCCACTCGTATAATTGCGTTACCTGTTACCTGCCCGAAATAAAATGAGAATCCCATCGGGTTTAAATTCGAAATTAAACTCTGCACTGCTGCTGCTCCACTTTCATGGGATTCTGTCGTGTGGGAAATCTCTTTGAAAAAAGGACTTACATCACGGCGGACCAGATTTCTGATCCTATTTTTCCCAAGTAAAACTCAAAACTAACTACCATATATATGTACCTGCCTCGCAGTGTGGTCGTGATTTGACCCATTTATTTGGCTTTCCAACATATTTAGTAGACTTCCAACTTGTTCACTAGTTAGTCCAATATAAAAGTTGCAAGTTGCAGCTCTAAATCGTTCGTTAGTGAAAGTGCAAGGCGAAGACTAAGCAGCAGCAGCAACAACTCGGTCTAAATTCTCTCCAACGACGTGATTGCATTCACTCCGCTCGCGTTGTTTTACGGATTCCAATTTAAGCCGAGAAGAAAAGAGGGAGGTTTGTCTTTAGAAAAACTGATTTGTGCCGTACTTTCGTGTTCCCATTAGTCCTTCGTTGATGCGCTTATAATAATTTTCCTAATGATGCAGGCACAGATTGAGGTGAAAGTCTGCTATCATTACGATAAACGGACACGTACAGGAGAAAGAAATCTGTACATTTTACACAGTAATGATTCCAACCACTATTTCATAATGACGTACATGTATTCCCACATTATTCCGGTGTGATCGTTAAAATTGAAGAATGTCATCATCACTCATAGAATAAAACCACCACACCACGTAAAATCAACTCCAGACCTTCATTACAAGGCAAAAAATAATAACATTTTACACAAATTTTGACAATCCAATCCCACCCTGACAACATTTCATGTCTGCATAAAACCAGAATTTACATGCATCACTCCCTCCCACTCGGATAAACGACTCTCATTTCCACCACCACCACCACCACCGAGAGATCGAGGTAATACCCACCCGAGGAGGTAATAGAGTGTATCATATCACATCACATACCTTGAAGGGATAATAATGGTGTGCATTACTTACATCCATGCAAAAAAGAGAAGTGGAATCAATGACAATCTACGTGGAGAAAGTAATCCGACCACTACTCGGCATAATAGGAAATGTTGTTTGTCTTCCAGCCAGCCAGCCAGACAGTGACTTTTTGAGACTCTGTTTTCCATCGGGGGGAGAGAATTTCCAGGTAAAAGCAACTTCTCTCATGATGAGCAACAAGCAGACGTAGGAAGAGAAGGCGGATGAGGAATAAATCAAGATTTATGAGCACAACGCGAGGGAGGAGGATTCCTTGTAAAAAAATATGTAAATCAATTTACGCGAACAAAACCCCTGAACGAGCAAACAACTCCCTCCACAAATTGAGAAATCGAGAGCTCTGATCTGCACTAGTGGGATTACTCCAACGTGCAAGGATTTTATCTCTTGTTTGACTAAAAACACGGATTCGGTGAAAGTAGCGAATATCGAGTTGGTTTCGAATTTTGCCTTCTTTTGTAGCGACGAGTGTTACATTTTAATGCATATTATGTATCCATTATCCATCCAGACAGGAAAGCATTATTACAAAATTCTGCATAATAATAGATCTGATAATGGGCGTACTCACGACAACTTCTTATTTCGCATCGCAACTCATTTAGCAAACTTGCGAAGATCAAAATATTTCTGTCGTGAGGGGATTAGCAAAATATGACTTCGCAAAACTCTCTTATCTCGCAAATCTACTGAAAAACACCTATTTTGGTATTGTTTCCATGGATTTCTGTAATTTCTCTTGCAGAATTACTTTGCGAAATAATTTTGCGAAATAAGGACATGCTCGATTGCTGGGTAAATTTGCGAACAAAAATCCCATGGTTTTCCAGCAAAGTTTTTGCGAAATCTCGCATATCTCGCAAAACTTCGCAAGTTATGTTGCTATGCTCAATTTGCGAGATATGCGAGATATGCGAAGGTTGACGTGAGTACACTCAATGTTTTTTCCAATCATGAGATTTCACTTAATGCAAAAAAACTCCTTATTTGTCCAGCTATTGTTAGCAAGTAAAAAACGGATATTACATTAATTGTCCGCCAAACGCTGGGAGACATTCGTACAGAAATATCCTGATCATTCTAGACCGATTTAGTTGTATAAGTCTAACGAGATTCGAAACGACCATTATTATTTCGTCTTTTTGTTACATACGTTTTGCTCAAATAAATAAAATAAATAGAATGAATATTGCTTCGGCTAGATTTAGGAATTGGCAAAACAAATCAGCAGCGCAACCAACGGGGGGGACCTTGGGCTTACAGGAAGTCTGTTTCAGCACTATTTACCATAAGCTATTTATTTACTATTTACCAATGTTAAAACTTCAATTTTAACATTGGGCTTATGGAAAATAGTTTAACACTCTGTTTTAACACTATTTATCATTAGCCCCATGTTAAACCTCTCATTTTCATGTGGACCATTGTCCCCCAGGTCGCTCAGTTGTTGCGCCTCTGTGTAAAATATTCCTCCCTGTTGAAGAAAGGGATTGAAAGGGATCAAAGGACGTAATGAGGCATCCCCTCGTCTAAAAGAGAGAGAGAGAGCGTTCTGGTCCAGTTGGTTTTCTTCCCCGTAAATAAATCCGGATCCATCCACAAATGACAACAACAAATAGCCCGACCTGATCAGACCATCTCATTTTCTTTATGAGAAAAACAAAAACCCTGAAGAAACAAAGTCAAGCCGCAGCAGGAACATAAATCCCTCCCCGATACACAAAATAAAATCCAATTCGACGAGAGTAGTAGGTACAAAATTCGAGGTAGAAGAGAGAAAAATACGATACGAAAGACATCACCGAGATGATATTAAGGAGAGAGAGACGACGAGTTATGTTGTGTGGACATGGGGATCAGTTTCAAATTGGCTCAAAACACACAGTAACTTTTGTATGTACATATTACCTGTTACGTAAACTTGCAAATTTTTTCAGTTTTTTCAAAATTTGACAAATTATGATAGCTGGAATGTTATGAAAACTGGAGGAATATGTGGTTTCAGATAAA